CAACATTTCGATGACATGACCCCGGAGCAGATTCGAAGCAGGGTTCAAGCCTACATTGAGGAAAAGGCTAAATCGACCGACAAGGAGGTCGAAGTCGTCAAGGTCGTCACGCCGGCTGAGGGTGACTCAGATAAAGTGCAGGATCCTCGGGATGAGTTTGTTCCAGTGTCAGATGGGGCCATCGAGACTGCTGCCAAGGCTAAGGAGGCGCAGGTCTTGGAGAGATTGTCGTCAGGGACCGAAGTCGGAGAAGGTAGCGGTACGGGCGGCACTTTGGAGAAGGTGAACGACGCGGCATGAAGTTTGAGAAGTATTATATAATGTTGCATTATGAATATTTGAAATAAAATATCGGGGCGCCAGCATGTTGGCGTTCTTAGTAGGAAATATATGAATATATAATCGGGGATGTCAGGTAGCTGAATCCCTTAGTAGGAAATATGTAAGGGTTTTCTCAACTTTTTAAGATATATTTATATAATGTGTTTAAGTAATATCTGTCTTGATGTATGTTTGTTGTACGAATTTCAGCGATTTTTTGACCAAGTGTTCTAAACTCGGTACGGGTTTTTAAAATGAATTACCGCAACTTAAATCTAGCCATATTGCTAACCAAATTGTGGATTTTTTGTAAAACTAATTTCCGAGTTCCACTTTGATCTTTCGTAATATTTCCAGCCACTAGTGTAAGTTGATTATGCGAACTTACTAGGAATTCGCATGACTTAACAAATGTTTGGGCTGTGCATGAAATAAAAATAGGGTTCACCGAACTTCGTCATAGTTCGATTATGGAACGGTCCCAACCGATTTATATCTTTTGTATTCGGTAATTTTCGGGACCCGCCAAATCATATTCGTTGAAATGGCGTTTGACGAGCTTCAATCCTCAATCGAACCGTGCACAGGATTTAGTTAGATTACGAGGTATCAGCTAGACTGAGTGTCGCAATGCTTACGTCGGTACAAGTTGTTTATATAACCGAGTTTTGAAGTATTATACATCGGTACCGAGTTGATGCTCGGATTTCCAAGAAGGAAGCCGACAGGCCTTCAGTACATCAAAAGAGTTACTTCGTACGTTCAGTGAAGTAAAACAAGGGGGGTCCGTGCAAAAGATGGGTCGGCTATCTGACTTCGGACCTTTCATTGATAGAACTTCTTTAGGAAAACAGCATTCCATGGATATTGATGCGGAGTTCCATCAGAGTGGGCGATTCGGTAGGCTCTATGAGGTAGGACTTCAATGACTTGAAAAGGTCCTTCCCACCTCGGTTTAAGTGGGCCGGGATCAGGCCCTATTATGCGTTTGAGGACTAAGTCTCCAACTCGGAATGAACGAGGCTTAAGTTTGGAATTGATATATCTCTCGCTTCTATGTTTGTAAGCGGCATTCTTGAGTTCGGCCCGGGTGCGATGTTCCTCGAGCAGGTCCAGATTAGATTTTAAGTTTTCCGAGTTAGACTCTTCGGTAAAATGTTGAATTCGGTAAGTGGGTTCACCGAGCTCAACTGGGACTACAGCTTCTGATCCGTATGTAAGTGAAAACGGGTTTTCGCCGGTGGAAGTTCGGGTAGTTGTCCGATATGCCCATAAAACATGTGGCAATTCTTCAGGCCAAGCTCCTTTGGCAGCATCGAGTCGGACCTTAAGACCATTTTTTATAAGCTTATTCACAGCTTCGACTTGACCGTTAGATTGCGGGTGGTAAGGTGAAGAAAAGAAGTGTTTAATGTAGTACTCTTTGCACAGGGACTCAAGTCGTTTGCCTTCAAATTGTTTACCGTTGTCGGTAATGATGGAGTTCGGCACCCCGAAGCGGCAGATAATTGATTTCCACACACAATCGACGACTTTCTGCTTGGTTATCGTGGCTAACGGTTCGGCCTCGGCCCATTTAGTAAAATAATCAACTGCCACGATAGCAAATCGGACGCCTCCTTTCCCGGTTGGCAGGGGATCTATGAGATCGATTCCGCACTTGGCAAAGGGCCATGGACTGTAGATTGATTTGAGCTCCTCGGGAGACTGGTGGATGTTGGGCGCGAACATTTGGCATTTCGGACACTTACGAACCCATGCAGCAGCGTCGGTTTTTAAGGTCGGCCAATAATAACCTTTTCGTAAGACTTTGTAAGATAAGGCCTGTGAACCGGGGTGACTTCCGCAAATTCCTTCATGGACTTCTTCAAGAATATATTGTGAATCAGATTCATTCACGCATTTTAAAAGTGGGACGGAATATCCTCTCTTGAACAAATTTCCATTGTCCAATGTGTACCGAGCTGTTCGAATCCGAAGTGTCCGAGCTTCTTTTGGATCCGGGGGCAAGGCCCCAGTTTCTAAATAGTGGATAATAGGATCCATCCAAGTCGGCGGCTTTTGTGACGTTACCAGATCGATAGCCGCGACTTCGGTAAGTGCGGTCGACGGCCGTTCTTGTTGTCCAACTTGGACATACTCCATGTTCTCCATTCCGGTACTCGAGGCCTACCGAGACAAAGCGTCTGCTTGAACATTAAGATTTCGGGGAATATGTTCAACGTAAACGGAGAACTTTGATAATTTTCGCTTTGCCAAAGAGAGATACGGTGTCAGCCGAGGTTCTTTGACTTCATACGAACCGTTAATTTGGTTGACAAGGAGTTGGGAGTCGGAGAAGACTTTGAGGTGCTTTACGTTCATGGATTCATCCAAATTTAGTCCGGATAGCAAGGCTTCGTATTCGGCTTCATTGTTTGTTGCCGGGAAAAGAAACTTCACTGACTGACAGAATAATCGGTTTTCCGGGTCCGCTAGGACTATTCCTGCTCCTGCTCGGTTGACTGTCGAGGAACTGTCGATATAAAGAACCCATGGTTGATCGTCATGGTGAACTGTTATAGCCGGAGTGAATTCGGCAATGAAGTCGGATAAGGCTTGTGCCTTGATCGCGGTCCTCGGTTGGTAGTGGATGTCAAATTGTCCAAGTTCAATCGCCCATTTGATCATGCGCCCCGAGGTGTCAGGTCGGTGCAGGACTTGGCGCAACAGATACGAAGTGCGGACGGTTATAGTATGTTCTTGGAAATAAGGTCGCAATTTCCGAGCAGCGATGACAAACGCAAACGCCAATTTTTCCATAGGAGGGTAACGCAGTTCAACGTCATGTAGGGCTTTGCTAATGTAATAAACGGGTGATTGTAGCGTTCCTTCTTCACGTACCAAAACAGCGCTGATCGCAGAATCGCTGACTCCGAGTATAAAAACAGCATTTCTTCGGGTCTTGGTTTTTGTAACGTCGGTGGAGAGGCAAGTGTCTCCTTGATGCTGATGAGAGCTTTTTGACATTCTTAGGTCCATTCAAAGCACTTTCCTTTTTTGATTGCTTCGAAGAAAGGTTTGCAACGGTCTGTGGATTTGGAGATGAACCGGTTGAGAGCAGCAAGTCGGCCAGTTAGGGCCTCAACACCCTTAACCGAAGTCGGAGGAGTTAGGTCTTGAATGGCTTTTATCTTGGCCGGGTTGGCTTCAATTCCGCGCTGGCTGACCATATAGCCCAGGAACTTTCCTGATTTAACTCCGAAGGTGCATTTCTTGGGATTTTAGACCATGGAATAAGATCGGAGGACATCAAACATATCTTGAAGGTGTGTTATATGGTCAGAAGCGTGCACCGACTTGACGAGCATGTCGTCGACGTAAACTTCCATAGTATGACCAATCATCGTGGCAAACATTTTGTTGACAAGGCGTTGATAAGTGGCTCCGGCATTTTTCAACCCAAACAGCATCATGGTATAGCAGTACAAGTCTCGTGCTGAATAAAACGAGGTGTGTTCAGAGTCCTCGGGATCCATAGGAATTTGATTATAACCGGAGTAAGCATCCATAAAACTCATTAATTTGTGTCCCGACGTGGCGTCAACCATGTAATCTATGTGTGGGAGTGGGTAACTGTCCTTGGGACACGCCTTGTTCAAGTCGGAAAAATCAATACACAGTCTCCACAGACCATTGCTCTTTTTGACAAGAACGGGGTTTGAGACCCATGTCGGATACTTGGCCTCTTGGATGAATTTGTTATCGATGAGTTTCTTAACTTCCTCTTCCAATGCTTTTTGACGATCTGGCCCCAGTTTTCTTCGTTTCTGTACAACAGGCCGGACGGTTCTATCGAGGTTCAACTTGTGACTAGCAACACCGGGGTCAATACCCTTCATATCTTCGTGTTTCTAGGCAAAAACATCAGAATTATGTTTAAGGAACGAAATAAGTTCTGACCGAAGGGGCTCTTGGAGATGACTCCCGATGCGCAATGATTTGTGGAAGATTGGTTCATCGATGTATATTAACTCTACTTCTTCTCCAGGCTAGGCCCGATCACTTCGGCTTTTTTCCTTAAATTGGGCTCTCGGGTCCAACTCATCTTCTTCAAGGATAGGTTCCTTTCCAGGCCGGCGACCTCGGTCTTCGGTCAAGGGATCCGAGGTGGGAAAAGTGTCGACGTTGTAGTTTGGTTCTCCAGACACCGTGTTGTCCGAGACGTTTTGTAGGGGAGAATTTTCATTATTACTCGTCGAAGTGGAATGGATTCCGCTGGGTGGTATGAATGTAATAAGTTCTCGAGCTTCTCTCTGGTCTCCGAAGTGCGTCCCTTCTCCTCGTGTAGTCGGGAACTTTAGTGCGTAGTGAAAGATCGAAACCGCAGCCTGAAGTTTGTACAACATTGTTCTGCCAATGATGGCATTGTACTCGTTGTTGATATCAAGAATTTTTAAAGTCTCCATGACGAGCTTGGTGACGTTCTCCGAAGTGCCAAATCTGACTGGTAAAGTGATCTCGCCGATAGGCTTTGAAATACTTCCGTTGAATCCTTGTATCTGGTCATTACAGGGTCGAATGTCGGTGGGATCAAGACCCATTTTGTCGAAAGCTTTTAACATCAAAATGCTCGAATAGGCCCCAGTATCTACCATAACGCGATGAACAGGAATCCCGCATATAGGGACAGTGATAACAAGTGCATCGGAATGAGGGTGTGCGAAGTGATTAGCATCCTCCATATTAAAAGTTATGGGACAGTTCCGATTGTTGAGGATGTCTCTCAAATCTGTAGTGTACACCTGTTTGCCGGAGTTGTACGCTTGTCGGGCAGAGGCTTTGATTTGTCGACGGGACAATATACTCCGGGAGTTATTGGTGTTGACACGGTGGACTGTGATTTGCATCGGTCCAGGAGATCGATCTCGTTTACGTCCTCGGGCAGTTCCAGCAAAGTCTGAATCGGGCGTTTCTGAGGTGAACATAAATACTTCTTTGTCTCCTTGTCGGATGCGTTTTGGCATGGCGCATCGGTCCTCCTCGTCATCTTCATCATATGATTCAATCTGGTGCCCTGGACCTCGTCTCTGGGGGTCGGTGTTGCGGTAGAACTTTTTGAGCTGCGGATGACCGATTAAACGTAACAGGGCAGCCAACAATCTTAAACATTCATCAGTATTGTGCCCCGGCGATTTATGATAGTCACAATACCGGGACTTATCCAATTTTTCTTTAGGAATCCGAAGTGGTTTGGGATCCGGTAAAATGCCTTTCCCTTTGATCTCTTCGTATATGGTAGCTGCCCCTGCGGAGTATACGGTTTGATAGCCGGACTTCACATCGGTAGCATACTGCTTTCTGGCTGCTCGAACTTCAGGGTCATTGGGGTCTCCTCGGGGAGGTCCCCTGAACTGAGCCTTGCTTTGCTTTTCGAAAAATTTATTCTTCTTTTTCTCATCGGTCGCCGCCTTAGAAGACTTCGGGTTAAAGTTATAATCGGGGACTGACATGGCTTCTTCAGCTATGATGTGTTGCTGAGCTCGAGCAAGAAATTCTTGAGAAGTGTTTGGCTTATTTTGACACAATGTCCAGCGGAAAATCGAATTCGGTTTCAATCCGGCAATAGCCATGACAAGTAGGGTTTCAGGATGACAAGGTTCCATGTTTTGGACTCGGTCGTTAAATCGAGCAATGTAGTCCTTGACACTTTCATCATCTTTTTGAGTTACGTTTGTAAGAGATTCTTTTGGAATTAAACAGACTTGAGCCGCGATGAAATGAGATCGGAAAGCCGACCTCAATTTTTGCCACTTCCAAATTGAATGAGGAGGAAGAGAATGGTACCATTTATGGGCCCGAGGCCCCAGCGTGAGAGAAAACATACGACACCGAAGTGCGTCTGAGGCCCCGTGCAGATCCATCCACGAAGTATAATGACCGAGGTGCGAGTCAGGGTCTGAAGTTCCATCGTATAGCCCGATCTGGGGGACTTTGACTTTCCCAGGCACAGGTTCCGAAGTGAGCTCCGGTGTAAGGGGGGAGTCGGCTTCTAGATATGCTTGTGCCGAAGTTGAGGTCCATCGAGGAGGGTCTTCCGGCATCCTTTGCCGACTTTCCAACTCGGCAATTCTTCGTCGTAGCATTTCAAGTTCGGAAGTTTCTTGACGAGCTCGGTTTCTCTCAATATGTTGACGAAGATCAGTCTGCACTGGATCAGGAGGAATTTGACGTCGTACCTGAGGTGGCGACCGTCGTGAATGTCTCGACAGACTTTCGGCGGTTTCTTCGCGTGGTATTACGAGGGGATTACGCCCAACATCGGCGTGACGCGTAGTTTGTTCTGGAGGTGGTTGCGATGCTCTATCGCGAGGTTGAGAGGTGGCGTGAGACGTAGTTCTTCCGCCGTCTCGTCGCACCGGTGGATTCTGCGGATTTGCAGGAGTCGTTGGTATTATAGAGTGTCCCGGGGCAGTCGTGGATGTTCCGGGAATCGTTTGAGCCATCAGAGCGGCGAAACCACGCGCAAACTCCAGATTTTGAAACAGAACAGTGTAATCCGGCACAGGGGGAGCTACGGCTTGTCGTCTGGCGGATTGCGCAGCACTGCGACTGTGGCCATCTCGTGAAGTATGACCACGATGATCTGAATGAGACATGATGGATATGGCTGATGTGAATCGTTACACGAGAAAGCGGAGAGTAACCTCAAATCACTTATGAGGCCCTCCTTCTAGCGCCAAACTGTTGTCGTACGATTCTTGACAACGATATAACAAGAGATTTAGGTGATAATTGTTAGCGGTTTGAACGTAAAGCATGTAAGAACAACTCAACAATGGCCCCAGTCCGAGGTGGACCGAGGTGAAAAGCCTTTATGGGCTATTGCGTGTTGCATATTGATGAGTTCGGGATCCCCCGTACAAGTGTCATAGGTTAGCTATTTATAGTAACTTTTTATGTACATATCGGGATCTGTGCATTTGCTTTCTCATAAAGCTACTTTTTAGTGGACGGCGAGATCTGTGGGCCCCACTTTAATGATGTCAAATCTCGTAAGTCGCGATAGGAGTGCGTAGGCGCCTTGTCACCTGCTTTAGGAGGTGACGATTTCGGTTTATGTTTGACCTCGGTTTGGAGTGACCTCGGAGGGAATGAGTTATTTCGGTCTTTTGGAGTCGTCTCGGTCTATTGCGCGAACCGGGATGACTTTCGGCTATATTAGTGTCTGAGTCAAATTCGCTTATAGCGCCGTTTAAGGTCCTTAACTACGCTTTACCGAGTCGGGTGATAACAAAGTTAAAAACTGAATAGTAGATTTAAATGAAAATGTATAATAATTTTTTTATTGTTTAATTATATTGACAAGATTAACGAGATAAAAATGAGATTAGATAAATAATAATTTTTTAAAAAAATATTTATATTCAATCTTAGATCTGACTAACAAAATTTTATCTATGAAGAAGAAACAATTATGCTTTTTTTTTTCGAACGATAACAAATACTCATAGCAATAAAAAGAGTTTTACAAATCGTAGAGCCCACTAGCTCCAAACACCACAGAGAACTAAACCGAAGCTAACTGAAACTAGAGGCAAATGCACAGATTTGGATCCTCTAGACATAAAACACCAAACCACAAACCACAACAAACTAACAAAACAAAAAACAATAAAACTCACAAAAACCACAATAAACCCAAAGAAAGAGGCTACTGAACTTGGGGGACCGAGCCTCTACACAAACTAGAAACAGAAAAAGAATAATTCAAAACCAACCACAAAAAGCTACACCGAATTAAACTCGGACCATTCCCTCATAGCCAGTCTAACTACCACTGCTTCCGGCATCTTCACTTTGTGAAACACCCATAAGTTTTGAGATTTCCAAAACCACCATAGTATGTACGTGGACAATTGTATCCGGGCTTCAGAAATATCAGATTCATTCAACTCTGCAACATTTTACCACCATGTTTTGAAACTTGAGAAAGAAGAAGTTGAAGAGTCCCAAGAAACAGGGGATAATTTCCACACCAAAGCAGCTCTAGGACATGAGAATAAAGCATGAAAAACATACTCAGAATCACTGCCACACATCTGACAGATGCTATCAATCTGAAGTCCCCTAGCTCCCAAGTTTGTACTAACAGGTAGGCAATCAGTAAAACATCTCCATATAAAGTGTCTCAGCTTTCCTTTAACCTTTAAATTCCAGCACCTATTTCTAGCCTTTTTGTCACAAAGAGCATTTGCACTAGAGCTAGGTAAAGATAGAGAAAGACTTCATAATAGCAACAGAATATGCGGAGGCCACAGAGAATTTGCCTTTTGAGTCAGCTTCCCACACCCACCTGTCCCTCTCATTTGGATTAAGATTTCTAATCTGAAGAATAGCATTGCAAGATTCAGGGGTGAAACATTCTCTAAGCAGCTCTACATTCCAGCTCCAGCCATCATCAGAATGAAGCTCTTTAACCCAGGTCAGAGAGAACTCATCCACACCAGTAATCAAGGAAGTCTTACCAGAACTCAGGCCAGGCACCCAAGGTTGTGATAAGATATTAGTGTTGACACCATCTCTCTTCTGAAACCATTCTTATGCTGATTCAGCACTGTCACCCATGAATTCCACAGCCAAGGGGTTGTGCTACTTTTCTTGGCATCTAGAACACTACCAAAAGAGAAGTTCTTTCCTTCAATACTCTAGTCATCAAAGAATTGGGCTTTGTCAATAGTCTCCACCATTGTTTAAGGATAAGGGAATCATTGAAGACCTTAATATCTTTAAAGCCCAGCCCCCCAGCACTCTTAGGGACAGTAACTTTGTTCCAAGCAACCCAGTGAATACCTCTCTTCTTTTCAGTGCTCCCAGCCCACCAAAATGCTGCACTCAGCTGGGCTATCTCCTTGCAGACACTTATAGATAAGCAGAAACAAGAGCAGACAAAGATTGGTAGAGCATTAATAATAGCCTTCAACAAAACCTCTTTACCAGCTGTAGACAAAAACTTATTACTCCAGCCCCTCACTCTATGCTTTACTGCATCCACCACAAACTGGAACACTTCCTTCTTTGATCTTCCCAGGCCCATGGGCAAGCCCAAATATCTGGTAGAATAGCAGACCTCAATTTTATTCAACACTTGACACACTGCAGCTTTCACCTCTTCAGAAGCATTTCTGCTGAAAAATACAGATGACCTCAAGAGGTTGACTTTCTGGCCTGTAAAACTCTGATAAGCTGCAAGTATTCTCAATAGCATATTAGCATTCTGACAGTCCGCGCCACAGAAAAGGAGAGCATCATCTGCAAAAAGTAAATGAGACAGTGTGGTTCCACCTCTAGTAATTTTCAGCCCTTGCATCTCACCCAAATCCACTGCATTTCTGATTAATCTTGAGAAAACTTCAGATATAAGGATAAAAAGATAAGGGGATATAGGATCCCCTTGTCTTATACCCCTAGATGGAGTCACAAAACTAGAGACTTTGCCATTGACATTAAAAGAGAACACTGCAGAAGAATACAAGCAAAGATCCACTGTACAAAAGAACTATGGAAACCCATATGTAACATGGTCTTAACCACACAGTTCCACTCCAATCTATCATAAGCCTTCATCATGTCTAACTTAACTGCCATATAGCTCTGAGACCCAGTTCTGTGTCTATTTAAAAAATGAATCACCTCATGAGCCACTACTACATTGCCTGTCTGGAATGAAAGCAGCTTGAGTCTCATGAATACAGAATTTAAGACACTCTGTCAATCTGGCAGCTAAGATTTTAGCCACAATTTTATAAGAGACACAACATAGGCTGATAGGTCTGAAATGGTTTAGAGACACAGGATTATCACACTTTGGGATGAGAGTAATAACTGTGTGATTCCAGCTAGTCAGCATTCTCCCAGATTCAAAAAATTTTATCACAGCAGCACAAAGATCTTCTTTTAAAATAGGCCAAAAATGTTGGTAAAAAAGGGGAGTCATGCCATCATTACTTGGAGCCTTGTTTGGATTCATAGAGAATAAAGCTGCTTTGATCTCCTCTTCCTCAACAGGGGCAATAAGATTAGAGTTCATTTCTGTTGTGACAGAATGAGGGATTAAGGGTAACACTTCAGCTTCACCCCAAGATCCTTCAGCTTCAAACACGCTTTTATAAAAATCAATAATGGCTATTTCGATTTCCTCAGGAGACTCAGCCACCACATCATATTTATCCACAAGCCTGGTTATGGCATTCCTCTTCCTTCTGTATAGAGTCATAGCATGGAAGAACTTAGTGTTCCTGTCACCCTCTTTGAGCCACTGTAGCCGAGCCTTTTGGCTCCAAAACTCCTCTTCCTTCAATTGAGATTGCTCTAGCTCCCTTTTAACAGCCTCCCATTCATCCCAGTTCACTTGGCCTCCCATAGCTCTCATATGTTCTAACTTGAGGGTGAGATCCTCAATTCTTTGAGCATTCCCCGATTTTGCCAGCTTATTCCACTTCATGATAGCCATCCTAGTTTTTTTTAATTTTCTCTTTCACTCTAGTCATAGGGCAGCCCCTCACATCCTCATTCCATGCCTTTCCCACTTCATCATAGCATCCCTCCATCTTAATCCAGCGCTTATCAAAGAATCTCTTAAAAAACTTCCTCTGTTGGTTACCAGAATCAAGCAACAGCATAAAATGGTCAGATGAACTTCTATAAATAGTAGACACTCGAGCCCCTGAGTTAGCTGCAATCCAAAAAGATCCAAAGATCCTATCCAATTTCTCCTCCACATAACCCTCCTCCTGCTTGTTATTACCCCAGGTAAAGGAATACCCCTCCATACTGATCTCCATCATCCCCATATCAGCAACAAAACTATTAAAACCTTCACAGCTACCAGTTGTTCTCAGTCTACCTCCTCTTTTATCACTTGGGCTACACAGATCATTCCAATCACCCCCAATACACCACTTCTCTCCCCAGTTATCTTTACAATCCTCCAACTCCCTCCATTGCTCCTCCCTGACATGCCTATCAGTACTTCCATACACAAAAATCATCCATTCTGAAGCCTGAGCAGACCCAAATCTAAAATTGACTTGGATGCAGAAGGACTTCACAATAACCTGAATGACTTCAATGTCCCTACTCCAACCCAACATAAGCCCCCCACTCAAACCCACAGGATCAACAATAACTCTTCTCTCAACAAACCCCAACTTTTTGCAGACAGTATCAACAAACAACTTGGACTTCTTGGTTTCAGACAGAAAAACAAAACTAGGGAGGTGGGCCTTCATGGCATCCTTCAACTGGGAAACTGTACAGGGCCCTCCCAGACCTCTACAGTTCCACAAGATTGTCTTCATTTATCCATTTGGGGCCATTCAAGGCTGGCTACCCCCACCTGTTCAGTATCATCAGATATCTTGAGACTACATTATTTTTTTGCTGCTCTTGACAAAGATAACTCCTCCTCAGATTCCTCTGCTTGCCTCTGTCTTTTGCTGCTATCAGAGACAATAGAGATATCCATAGCATGATCAGTTCTTTTCAACCTGCCCTCATTCTGACTCCTCCTCTTCCACATTGCAGTTTGTTGTTTGCCTTTAAGACTTCTCTGGCCCTTATTACGTTTTAATTCAGTAGACACCCTGGGGCTTTCAATAATTGCAGCCATTACATCCTCACCTTGCTCCTCAGCATGCCCTCTATTCTCCTCCTCATTGGTGGCATTCATTAACCTTTATGGAACACACATGCTTCGATTATCCCCATCTTGTTCTCCTGCGACTGAGCTAAAGACTGGAATTAAAGCCCTTCTAGGATTGAGAGAATCCAGTTGAACCTCCTGCCCATGTGGTAACTCTGAGGTTGAAGGCTCCCCCAGATTTTGAGAAATTGCTCTAGCTGTTAGACTTAGGAGAAGGATTGGAATTTGACGGTGAGCCAAAGCCCCTTCCCAAGTCAGAAGCTTTCATCCAGTCTCCAAACTGCCCTTCTTTCACCTTACCTTGCTCAATATGGGTCAGTCTAACCTTACAATCCCTCTCCAGATGCCCTACCAAACCACAGTAATAGCATAAACTGACAAGTTTCTCATACTGGAATATCAAACTATATTGTTGAGTTCCCAGCTTAATAACAGTACATCTCGGAAAAGGTTCATTCACATCAAGAGACACCAATAACCGGAGAAAATTTCCTTTAGTCCCTCCCTCTTTAACCACCACCACATTACGAACCTTTTTGAAAAACCTCCCAATTTTCAAGCTAACATTTGTGCAAAGCCAGTGAAGTGGTAATCTATGTACCTGCACCCAGAGAGAAACCTCCTTGAAACCTGCATCAGTTTCTGAGATGTCTTCTCTCCAGTCTTGGAGGACCAAATACTGGTTCTCAAAGACCCAATTAACCCCCGCCATAACCTTTTCTTTGTCCTCATTGCAACCGAAAATGAATTGAAAGAAATTTGGGGCCAATTCCTTCACTTCTATCAGTAGCGACATCTGCCACAAAAAGCTCATCGTTCTACGGATTCCGAATTTGCTAGCTTTCCGGTCTCCTATTATTTTCCCCAGCAGGTTGCGACGGCATTCTTCCGCACTAATGCGAACATCCCCATCGTCCAATTCAACTCCTCCAACCTCCTTAGATGATAGATTAATATTTTGGAACCTATCCCCCAATTCCTCCGCCATGAACCCTAATTACTCCCTCCAGCACAAACTCAGCACCAACTCGAACGGTACTCAATAGCAAAAGAGAATCCAGAAAACAAAGCCAAAGAAACTCTTACAAAAGAGCGAAACTCTTCAGCAAGAGAATCAACTCTCCATTGAGAGAATACTTTGGTTTGGCCCGATTGGAGAAACAATTATGCTTGGATATAAGATGTTTCAATTGTGTTTTGAATTTTTTGTTTTGTTTGGTTAATTTTGAAAATAATAGTATGGTTAGTTGTTAGTGGGATTTTTAAGACAAAGGGCTTCAACTTGGGGATAAACGCCTCCTTCAATCTCTTATCGATCGACCATCGTCTTTAATTGTGTTACGGATCTCTGGATCCTCGCCGGCGTTCTCGTCAGAAACATAGAGCAGCTTACGGAGCCTTCAGTGTATAGAACCACTGAGTTCCCGTCGAGTATTATATTCCCCTTGCAGACATTGACCTAAGCCTCGCCCTCGAGCTTCTAGATCTTCTTGGTGGTGATATGAAGGTTGTCCTCGCCAGAGAGAAGGGCTTGTCGCAGAGGAGGGTGATTGATCGATTTTAAATTTGGGAAGTTGTGGGCGTCTGCAAATTGATGAGAGGAAGATGGGAGCATAAGAAAGAGAGAAAAAAAAAAACAAAAAAAAAAAGAGAAGATATGGGTGAGAAGTTACTACAATAAACATAGGAATAAGAGTTTTAGTAACTAATAGAGTTCCCCTACTAATAGAGTTCCCCTAAAATTGTGCTTTAAGTATCTTTGCAAATAAAGCTAATCAATTTAGTTAATTTGCAAATAAATTGTAATTATGTAAAAAAAAATGATAATATAATAAAATTTTTATTATAATTTTCTCAAAATTTTTATATCCAAGCATCGTTGTAGCATTTACAATTTGAAGGATGTAATATAATAAAATTTAAGTGCTATATCCTATAGGTCACAAGTTGAGTTTTTATGGAAAAAAAAAAAAAAAAAGAGTTTGTTTTTAGCCCACTGGTTAATTATACGTCAACGTGGCAAAGCATGAACCTCCGAGTTACTTTATGGATAATGGTCCCCTTTGAACCAACGACATAACTCTCCAAATACAAAACACACCAGGTCCTTATTCTCTTTTGTTTTCTAAACAGCAGCTATCGAGTATATAATTAAATCCTAGATTTTGCATCTGATAATCAGACATAAACATACGAGAAATGCTACGGTCCCGTGACGGTACCATCCCGTTAGGTGTTGTAACCGTTGAATCCACGTCTAGTTAGATAAGATAGATAATCTAACGGTTAAAACACCCGATGAGATGGTACCGTAACGGGACCATAACATTACGTTAAAGGCACAACTAATTTGAAAGAAGCATACACAACGTCGGTAGGTGAAGTTACCATATTTTCCCTTTACAACAAGTAAATAAGATATCACCATTTAATGGGACCCGGTCATGAAAACTCCAATGGCTGGTGATGATGAATGAAACCAATAATAGCCAATCACAATTTCCATAAAATCTCCATAAACAACTTCTGCTACAACTCTGCTGCTTTCAACATCTTTTGTTCTCTTTTCATGCAGTTTAAGTTTGAGTGTTACTTATTACAGGACCTTTGCTTTTGTAGATTCTGTAGATGATGGATGAAGGCAAATTACCCGACAAGAAAGCCACCGGCTCAGTTAAAGCAGCTATTAACTCTTACAGAGAGCGGATTCTCGACGAAAATTCTACCATAATAAAAGAATTCCAATCAATTTACCCTGAGGTACCTGCAAAATTATTCTTCTTTTTCTTGGGTATTTCAGCTTTGCATTGTCAAGGCATTTTTTCAAAGTTCATCGGCAATTCTTTTAAACTTTTGTTCGGTTTCATTGACTGAATCATTTCGTCGCAATATACTTCAACAGAAGCATAATAACAAAACAAGAGAGCTACATCAGGCAAAGAGGGACACTAACCAGTTAAAGGAGAGCCAACAGCTCGCAGAACTAGCAAAGGTCGAAGCAGAATCCGAGCTATCAGCTGCAAAGAAGACGGTAAAAGATTTGACTCGAAAAATTGAGGAATTAAATACAAGGGGCAAATCGCAAATGCTGGTCCTTGAAAAAATAAAGATGGATAAATCGAGGGAAGTTGAACGGGACCTTGGAAATTTCCAGCGTGAGCAAGTGATGAAAGAATTGCAATCCATAAAACGAGAACTGAATAGACTTAAACTGGACATGGCTTCAATTTTGGAGGAAAAAAACAGCGCAGAGAAAGAAATGGAGGCGGCACTTTCAAAAGCGCAGTCTTTCTTGAGTTCAGTCGAAGCACTCGATAAAGAAATTGAGAAAGTCAATGAAGAGCATGTTCTGGTTGAGCTGGCTCGAATAGAGGCCATCAAGGAATATCAAGAGTTTCAAGCTCAAAGAAGCGAAAATGCCGAAAAATACTCAGCTGCAGTAGACGAAAAGCAGAAGGAAAACCATAAAATGATTCAAGAAACTGAAAGTATTAACGACATGGAGGCGAATTTGGCTATCACGTTGTCAGATATCAACATTTTAGAGAGTGAACTACGACAACTGAAAAAAATGGACAAGGGGCTCGAAAGTAACAAAGTCTTGAATTATGGGGAAGAACCAGGAAATGCAGCATCATTGTTAGAGTCAGTACTGAAAGAGTTGGAGACTGCAAAACATGAGTTGGCTTTAGCTAAAAAAGAAAGCTTCCAGTTCATGGCGTCCATGGACGTCATCAGGAACGAGCTTAGGCTCATCTCAGACCAAACGGCTCAAGAGAAAAAGAAAGAAGAAGAAACAGAGATGGGCATCCAGAATCTAAACACAAAGCTTCTGAGGGCCAAATCCAAGCTGGAAATAGCATCTGCAAGTGAAGCAAAGGCTAAATCGGTCGCCTTGAGTCTAACTGTCACGCTCGAGCAGATCAAATCAGAAGTAGAAACAGCTAAAAATCAACGATCCCTGATTGGCAAAGAGAACACAATAATTAAGGCAGAGATTCAGAGATTCGAGACTGAAACAGAGGCCGTTGAGGAAAAATTACAATCCGCACTGCAAGATTTAAGAGCCGTCAAGTCATCAGAAGCAGTGGCCATGGAGAATCTCAAATCCCTGATCGAGAAAACAATAAGGGATAGAACTTCGGCTTCTCAGGCTAGACCAACAATAACAATTTCCAAGTTCGAGTATGATTACCTGACAGGGCACGCGGCCGTGGCCCACAAGGTTGCGGATAGAAAAGTTGAGGCGGCTCAGGCATGGGTTGAGGCCCTGAAGGCGAGCGAAAAGGAAATTCAGAATAAATGTGAGCTTTTGAAAAGAGAAATTAGAGAAATGAGAGTGGAGGAGTTACATAAGAAGGCCCAATCAAATGAAGAATTAGCTAATGCAGAGGAAACAGTCGACGAGGTAGACTTTGAGAAGTGGAGGCAAATGGTAAAACCTGAATATCCGAAGCCAAGGTTTGGATTTTCTCGAAAGGCCATAAACAGAAGACGAGAAAAAGCTCGAGAATCAGGGTCTCCAGTAATTCGTGGTACTCCAAGATCGACATCCTTCTCTGTCAGGAGGAGAACAAAAGTGATGCCAAATCTGGCCAAGTTCTTCAAATCAAAAGGCATTGAAGAATAAGTGTAACTTAATCATTAGAAGAATAATTTCTCAGCAGTTCTGTGCATCATTTTTTTTTCTGACTGTTTTATTGAGTATGGATTTTTCTATTCTTGCAATCCTGGTAATTTCTATCTACAAGGAAATATTTCTTCTTTCTTATTTACTTTCTTTGATAGTACAGTAATTGTAAGCAGTAAGGTTCAACTATTACCATAAAGAATATGCACCTCATCACTAGCATGATCTTTGGCACTTGCTGTTGATCACATCTTTAAGGCACCATAATGGGCCCAAATGCTATAAAATAATAAAATGATTAGCAACACATAATTATTCCCACATTCTGTTTATGGAGATTATAAAGGTGTACAGTACAGAGTCATGTGAAACCTTCAATCAGCCTTGAAGCACAAAAGCAGTGAGCCCAAAAAGGTATACTGAACCAATGAAAGCACACTAATAGTATTTCACGAGGCTACAGCTCATAAAAGAATTCAAAGAGTGTTAGCACTTAAGTGGCGAATAAGAACACAAAACTACTATGGGTGCACAGAAGGCGCACTGCTAGCATCAGAAAAATTAAATGATGCGGCTCATTTTTAGTGTTCGGTAATTCACCCCATCAGAGTGAAACTAGCATCCTTCACTACATGTTGGGTAAACTTTGCCTCCCGTCCTTGTTTTCCATAATTTCAGTTGATGTAGGCTCAGGAAATAGAAAAGAAAGAAATAAAGAAAGAAAGAAAGAAAGAAAGAAAATGAAATCGATGACTACAAATGTTTCTCTTCCATGTATTTCATTAACCAACTCAATTGTACAAGTATGGTCTGGAAGAAAAATTCTACACTCTATACGCAGTTTCAACAAGTCATTCATGTTTGCTCCTTCACTTGATAGAACGTTTATCTGTAAATGGGTACATTCTTATCAGGGTACAAGAAGTAAAAACGAACAAATGTGGATGAAAATAAACAAACAAATTAACAAATTTTATGGAAACATCAGTCCGACTTATACACATTTTGTATGCATATATATCACAAAACCAAACCTTCCTATATAACAAAGTAACTGGCTTAAACGCCTTAGATGGCATTCAAAAATGTCAAGGTTTTTGTTGCCCCCATAAAACAACACAACCCACTATTACTAAGACACTATGTTTCTTCATCCCCAAACCAACATAAAATAACAACCTAGAGACAGAAAAAAAAAAAGATATATTAAAAAAAAAAAAAAGAAACGAGCAAGTGACAATATTTCTCATCAGTTAATGAACCATTAAGGATGTGCCTGCAGCTTAGCATGGCTTTTTCTGCTGAAACTGGACAGAAGGTTCCACAAGCTTCATTCCCGTTGTCATCGTTTGGTTCTGAGGTGTCACCACAGGTGCCAAAGGCTGGGTTTTGTATATTTGATTGTACACAATATCTTCATCAAACTCATTGCCCTCAGAAGCAGTTGTGTTAACAGATTCCAAAGCAGTCTGTGGCTCGGGAGGGCCCACAGATAGACCTTGATCAGAAGGTAAACCAACTAGTTGTGTTGCAGCAGGATGAACTTTTGGTTGAGCTGGTAATGTTGCCTGTGGATGCAAAGGAGGAAGAACTGAAGTAGTAGTTGTAGTATTGGCATCCGAGGAATTATACAGCATTGACATGTTAGGATATTGCGAAGGTGTAACCGGAACCAAATATATGGGATAGGGCTGATTTGGAGGGCATGATATATGCTGTGGGAGTATTGGAGTTTGGTATAGAGGATAGTAAGGTGGGATTTGCACTGGACCAGGATACTGAGGTATATAATGCAAACCTCCTTGGATTAACTGTGTTTCAGATTGTTGCTTTTTTCCATCAGGTAGCTGTGATAAAGGATATCCAATTACTTGAGTTGGTTTAAGAATTGTTGTATTAAGCGAAGCTTCAGAAACAGGATTTTCTGATGATTCATCTTGATCGACCTGAATCAGTGGCTCTTGAAGGAACCCAGGTTTTGGTGGTGGGGCTGATAAACTTGCAAGCCTTATTTCACTGCAAAAACAAGTGCCATAAACTCAGCCATCGCCTTCACATGAAAATTTAGGAGGTTTCTCAATTTTTTCACAAACATCCAAGGAAGACATGGTGCCAGAAACCTAGTTACAACTCTCCAGAAAAATGAAAGGTCCAAAGCTGATTAAGAAATTCTCTCTGAATATGTCGTGATCAGTTTCTTTAAATACTTGAAAGAAATCCATCAGTATGTTTGTTGTACACTGAACAAACATCAAAATTTTCCCTCAAACTATGTACATAATCATTTACTTCATCACACTGTGCTCAAATTCCAATGAACTAAAGTACTCCATACAGCTATTACTATTACTACCAAGAACTTGCATCCGAAATTATGCAGTACGATCTCAAAATGACGGCCAATTTTACAATTATAAGTATTTGGGGAAAATGGAAAATATATTAAAACAAAAAGGAACGAATACCTTTCAATTGAGGCAGATGAAGGAACCCTGATGCTCCTGTCAAGCTTCACTCCCTTCTCATCGCACTGGTTAATCCCGATTGGAGGAGAATTGGACATGGAAAACGAAGAACTAGTTGACCCAAATGATGAACTCGTTTCCAGAACCAATGACTCAGCACTGAGCTTACCCTCGCCACCGCTGCCGCCGCCGATACACCCACTCTCCAAAGGAGTCTCCAAATCCGGCACAATGCTCATCAATAAACCGGAATCCGCAGATTGCCCCTTCTGCAAAACCCCCGTGCTCTTTAGAGCATCTGAGAACCAGGTATCTGATTTCGGGTCGAGCAGGGCCGACCCCAGGGATTCGGGCTTGACGGGGAAGAGGAACAGTCTGATGCGCGCGGGTGGATCGATCCGATCGTGCTCCTCGAGCATGTTCGACAGATCCTCGTCGGTTAGAACGGAGATTAGCGAATCGAGGTCCTCGCTGGGAAGCTGGTACTTGAGGAGAAAAGGGCGGTTGTTTAGGAGGGCTCGAGAGAGATGCGCGGAGAGCGCCGAGAGTGAGGCGGCGGTCGTGCGGCGATCCAAGGCGACGATGCGGGTCTCGCCGCCGGCGTAGAAGAGAGATTTGTCGTGGGGGCGAGGGAGTATGTGACCACCGTAGCTGCACATGAGACGGAGCTTCGAGGGCACGATTGGCGGGCGGGGCGATGTGGTTACTGTGCCGGCGGGTGGAGGCGTTGCGAGCTCCATATTAGAGAGAGGTTTGAGAGAGAGAGAGAGAGTGGGGAGATTGAGGTTTAATAATACTCCATAGTAGTAGCTTAGAGCGTCATGCGGGGCGCGTTAATTACGCTTTTGCATCATGCCATCAAAACCGTATAGAGCAATTGCAAGAATTATGAATGATTACGAAATCAGATACCTGAAATAAAGTCAGAAATACAGTAAATAATTAATTACTCAAACTGAACAAAAGTTCAAACAAAGATTAGGAATTACAAAATATTATGATTAATGGCAACGAAACTGCCAAAGAAAATAAAATAAATTATTGGAATAGACTTTATTATTTAACAAGCGTGTACAATGTGTATGATAGAATTACAGAAAATAAAATTGATTTACACAAACACACTACAAAAAGTGTAGCCAGAATTTTTTTATACTATGGGCTAGAATATGTGCAAATCGAATGTCCGATTCCCTCCACCCCAGTCGTTAGCGAGCACCGCCCTCCGGCAGTCGACATACACTTTCTCGTCCCATTTTTTATCGTCCAGACCCCTTCCTAGCCTCAACGCCGCCTCGAGGTTCTCGCCGACGCTCGTGTGAGCCGATTCCACGAACCCCACTCCACCCCCGTCACCGCCGAGAACTTCTCCACTCTGAGCACCACGTTCCGACAGATCTGATGTCGAGCTCGATCATGTATAGAAGCCTGCGATATTATGATACCATTGGAACTTGTGAATTTTTCCGGTTGGTCGTATCTTTTTGTCTGGTCAACAACTGAGACGATGAGGCCAACTTTGCCGGTAGGCGCGCCCGTATCTTTTTCCCGACGAGATTTGGTTGGGGCTGGGCTGACCGACAACAACGTCGGTCAATGGCTGCAACCGAACGGTTAATGCCAGCCAACAATGATTTGTTACTTTTAATTATACAATTATCTTAAATATAATAATAATAATTTTTATTATTTAATTGATATATTTTTTAATTGATTAATAAAAGAAACTTGGGGATAACGGGTGCAGTTCCACTAACATGAAGCACACCAAAAGCAGGAAAAACACATGTGAAGCCCAAGTGGGGTTCCATCCCAAAATCAATTGGTGGAAGAAGGAGTAGCCCATTAGACTTATAAGGTGGGTCGATTTTCCATGTATGAACGATGTGGGACAACTCACAAGTGATATTTTAACACGCCCCCTCTCTTGTGAGTTCTTAATAAGAAAGCCCAAGCTCATATACGAGCTGGGTGCCCCAAGCTTATTAGAAGCAGACTCCCATAAACGGGTACGTGGGGAAAAATAGGTACGTCATCGCACGGTCCCAATAGAACCGGCTCTGATACCATGTAAGGAACTGGGAGATAACGGGTGCGGTCCCACTAACATGAAGAGCACCAAAAGCGGAGAAAATTCATATGATGCCCAAATGGGGTTCCATCCGAAAACCAATTGGTGGAAGGAGGAGTAGCCCATTAGACTTATAAGGTGGGTCGATTTTCCATGTATAACGATGCAGGACAACTCACAAGTGATATTCTAACAATTATTATGAGTTATTGATGTAAACAAAGTCAATGGATAAGAGTAAGTCTCATGTACATTTATATATATATATATATATA